TTCAGTCTACGTCAGCTCCACGTACGTGCATGGAGTTCCATGGTTGTCGGTGAGTCGCGGCATGAGTGTTGGCGTGATAAAATGTGCTACTTGTCGCCCTCACACAGCACGCGCGTCGCTGGCTGGCTGACCCAACCACCTTCCATGCTGGTGCTGGATGCTGGATAGCAAGGCTGAAGAGGAGGCGCGAGATGCACGCAAGGGATCGGAGGTGCCGCGCAAACAGGTCGCGTTTGTGTGAAGGGGACTGTACACCGAGCATAGCTGTAGCAGGTGTGTATGTGTTAACCAATAAGCTGCTTCTGACTATATATTACTTCCTCCGTTTGTGTTTACTTGTCAAAGCAACTTTTTATTGTAGCAAATTTGACCATCTGTTTTTCTTCTAAAAAATCTTAGATACTTCAATGTATATAACACTAATGAAGTATGTTCACACTACTACAGAATATTTATCCGTGTCGGGCGTTTTGGGTTTCCCACGGCGGGCAAACCGGTCCGCCGCCGTCGAAAGGCCACGGTAAATCGTGGCTTCCCGCGGCGGATAGCTTTGCCCGCCGCGGTTAATCAATTTACCGCAGGTAGCCATAAGAACGCCGCCAGCGGCAAATCGTTCAGAAAAACAAAAAAAAAAAAAAAAAAGCCCACACGGGCTTGGATCCGAGCATAAGCATCGAACCTAGATCCCGCCGCCGCCGCGCCGATTGATTGGATCCGCCAGCTCAACCCGCCACACCGCCGGAGGAGAGGGAAGGGCGGGTGGGCGCCACGCCCACCGGATCTGCGCGCCGCCGTCGATTGGGTGGGAGGAGACGACGCCTGCCGTGGATCCGCGACGTCGCGGCGGGTTGGGGCCGCCCTCCGTGGATCCGTGCCGTCGCGGCGGGTTGGCGCCGCCCGCTTCGCCGTGAATCCGCGCCCGACGGGCAGACCCCGCTGCTGCCACCGTCAGCGCGAGGATCACCTGTCGCCCGCTCGCCACCGTCGTCGAGGATCTGCAAGGGTGCGAGTGTGTGAGAGGACAAGATCCACCATTGATCCGAGAGAGAAGAAAGAGGGCTCCACACACCTGCGTGCGATCTGATTCGCCGCCGCCACCGCCGGGTCTCCATGTTGGCGTCGGGGCCTCTCACGCCCGGCCGGAGGAGAGAAGGGCGCGCCGGGGCCTCACCGCCGGCCAAGGAGGGAGAGGAAGGCGCCGTCGAGGCATCCACCGCCGCCGCCGTCGGGCGGCTCGACCTAAGTGCGTGGGGACAAGGAGAGTGGGGAGGAAGAGAGAGGAGGAGGAAGAGAGTGGGGAGGAAGAGAGGCCGATCAGCGCACAGAGAATGTAATGTGGAGGCCGATCGCCCAAACCCTAAGTATACCTATATATACGTGTAGACGAATATCGGGCCAGCTTGGGCCTGATGGGCCTAGGCCTTTTCCGTGGCGGGCTTTTAACGTTGTCCGCCACGGTAAATTGATTTACCGTGGCGGACACCTTACGATGTCCGCCACGGTAAATAGGGTATTTACCGTGGCGGGCATCTTATTATGTTTGCCACGGTAAATCAATTTACCGTGACGGGCAAAAGTGCCCGCTGCGGTAAATAAAAAATGCCCGCCGTGGTAAATCGTGGGATTTACCGCAGCGGGTAAAAATAGGTGTCCGCCACGGAGTGCAAAAGTGCAACGCTGCGCATATTCGTTTGTGTAGTAGTGTCAATAAAGAATTATATATGTGAAAACTTGATGTATCTAAAAATCTTTTGCAAAAAAAAACATATGATCAAAATTGCTATAGTAAAAATTCGGTGACAAATAAACGAAAACGGAGGTAAGTATAAACTAAACTGGAAAGCATGCATCGATGTTCTTGTAGCTAGTCTATGGAACAAACAGGCAGCGTGACGCGGACGTACGGACCCACGTGCATTGAAAGCCTTTGACAACGGATCGCTCGAGAGCTTCCTTCGTCTAGGGGACTAGCAGAGGACCGAGTGATAGCTCAGTTGGTCCGCTTATGGCGGGTTCGATTTTTGATTGAACGAACTTTAAGTTTATTAAAGTCGGCTGATAAGTCGATTAAAATTAATTTATTTTAAGAGAAAAATATTGTAAATTTTAACAAATAAATTCAAGCAGACAGACCTTTTACGTGTCTCACGGGGCTTTTCTCAAATTTATTTTAGGTTTCTTTGCCTTACAGCACACAGATGTTTTATAATAGTCAGAGGTGACGTGCTCGTCACGCAAAAATGCCAGATCACCCAAGTGTCAAATACTGTAGCTCAGTGTATCGCTGGCGGTGGTGCTGTTCATACGTCCTTTTCCTACTGTTTCTCATCCACTGTTCGTTACTTTCTCGCATAGCGTTCAGCGCTCTGTACCCTGTTCAACTAAAAAAAGTCGAGCACGGCAGATCGCGCCAACCCATCCTAGTTATCCATATCCATAAAAAAATGTAGTGCTAGGTGAAAGTATCTGAACTGTATTCATACGACTAATGATTAATTATATTAATTTTACGGAAAAGCTAACGGACACTCGTTGTTTCATGTCCTCCCGTCAGGCCAATTTCTGTCCGTTTGATCACGTCATTGTTTTATAGCAACAGTCTAATACAGCCGGCCGCTCGGTCCGTGACTGTTCTTTATTGTTTTCTATATCTGACAATTGAGCCCGCTGTCCACTGTTTCTATTTTCAAAACGTGAACTCATTCTCCGTGTTGTTTTATCTTTTTGGCGTCTCTCAGCCTGTTCGTTTGGCTGTGGTTTGTCGTAAATGATCATAAATTTTTAGCCTGAATAATATTTTTCTCTCACACAAATCAACCAACACTATTTCTTCATCAACCAGCAACGAAACGAACCAGCCAACCGAACAGGCTGTGTGTCTGAATAGGTGGTGTGGGTGCGTGTGGTGTGGGCTGTATGCAAGTTCAGATAAAGACTGACACAATAAAAAAAACTGAGAAAAATGAGGAGGCCCACCAATACTGACAGTGAGTATAGGATGGAGAAAGGGACGATGAGCGACGAAAGGGTGCGGGTGTGGGTGCGTGTGGTGTGGGACGTACGTCCTCGCCTAGTGAGATGTTGACGTGGGCAGCGATGACACTCGTTGGGTCGACCTCACCCACGTGTTGTTTCATGTCCTCCCGTCAGGCCAATTTCTGTCCGTTTGATCACGTTATTGTTTTATAGCTACAGTGTAAGAGAGTGTTTGATCCGGTGACTAAAATTTAGAAGGTGTCACGTGAAAGTGTCACATAGCGTATTCGGATACTAATAAAAAACAAATTACAGAATCGGTCAATACTCCACGAGACGAATTTATTAAGCGTAATCTGTCATTAGCATATGTTTACTGTAGCCCCACATTGTCAAATCATGGACTAATTAGGCTTAAAAGATTTATCTTGAAATTAGTCACAAACTATGTAATTAGTTTCGTAATTAGTCTATATTTAATACTCCATGCATGTGTCAAACATTCGATGGGACAACGACTAAAGTTTAGGAGGAGCAACCAAACACCCCCTATGGCCCATTCGGCTTACCTTATAATCTGACTTATTCAGCTTCTTTTTTCAGCCAGAATAATGTTTTTCTCTCATAATAACAATTCAGTTGGAACGATGTTTTTCAGGCAAACGAATCTAATCTGACAATTGAGCCCGCTCTCCACTGTTTCTATTTTCAAAACGTGAACTCATTCTCTGTGTTGTTTTATCCTTTTGGAGTCTCTGCCTGAAGTGGGAGGAAAGGCTTGGCTAGTATACTGGATTCTAATTCGTAAGAAAGTATATGTTTTTTTCTAAAAAATCATATAAATAAAAAATATGCTTTAAAAAATTCCAAGCTTTTTTGGGTGAAGAACAAGTTAAATACAAACCATTTTAACTAGTTGTGCTTAAAAGGGATTATAATTAAAAAAATACAATTATTACCATAAAAGAGAGGCAAAGAAACGGAAGAAAATCACTGCGAAACTAGGATATTGTCGTTTCAGAGTTCCAGTGAAGAAAGCAATAAACGCTCCGAGGAGAAACAGAAACGTTTTGTTTAGCTCCTACTACGTTTGGCTCTGGCTCTCCTCATTCCTCGCAGAAACGGAAACGTTTCACTTAGCCAACCGTGCCCTTAGTTTCTAAGAACCAAATCCATCAATCACTGTCCCAATTTGGATTTTGGAAAGGAACATTTTATGGGCAAAGCTTCATCTTGAACCTAGCCATTTTGTCTCTGATCCCTATCCTGACATTGGGCACCTCACACTACTGGAAACTTGAATTGCTCTGTGGGTGATCAAATTTTCTGTGTGTTTTTTTCGGCACGAATAGAAAAATGATGAATTTTATGTCGGTTTCAAAATATCCCGACAGAAAAATACAAAACCCACAGAATAATTATATGATTTTTCTGTGCGTGGGAGTAAACACACGGAAAAAATAAACACTCACAGAAAAAAAATTGAAATTATTGTGTCGGTTCTTTAAATCCTCATAGAAAAAATATATACACGCACAGAAAAATTGGTATTATTGTGTCGGTTCTTTTATAAACGCACAAAAAAACATACACACGCACAGAAAAATTCAAACGACCACTAGGATTTAGCGTTCGCGCCCTTTGTTTTGGCGTTCGCGCTTTCCGTTTTGGCGTTAGGGCGTTCTCATGAAAAGAAAATACATTAATTTATAAAATAAATAAAAAATAGAAAAGTCCCTAATGTACTGCAGTAAAGATTTTGGGCTAAGCAAGGACTGAAGGTTCCTGTTGGAGGTAGACAGTGAAGAGTTGTTGAGTACCTATGAGACTCAAGGTACACTTCTTTCTTCACTAGTTTTATTTGTTGTATGACAATGTTGTTATTCTGCATTTTATTTGTGTGCCCACTTGTCTGAGTTTGGAATGTTTGTCCTTGCACCAAAAATAATTGAGCTTCTTTTGTTGTGATATCTCATATATTAATATTTGAAACAGAACTAGTTAATATGTCAAACAAAACATGAATGTATAATGGTTGGCAATATGGCAAAGCTCCCTCGAATGAATGGATTGATGGAACCAGTGAATTCTTGAATAGTGCATTTTCAATTTCTGGTGTAGCTGAAAATGATACTATTAAGTGTCCTTGTGCACAATGTCGGAACTACTTTAGGCATATAAGATACACTATAGAGATGCATTTGTGTAGGCACGGTTTTAAGAAAGACTATGAAACTTGGACTGAGCATGGTGAGGGGCTGATTTCACATGATGGATATGATGGTGTGGGAAATAGAGAGGGCACTGATGAAGTTGATCAGATGGATCAAATGTTGGTTGACCTTGCTGGGCACCATCCACCTATACTGGATGCTGAACCATCAGCATATGCCAAAGCTTTCTATAGGATGGTTGCTAGTGCAGATGAGTTGGTGCATGATAGAACCACACACTCACGCTTGTCTATTGTAGCTCGCTTGTTTGCTGTGAAGTCACGGTACAACATGTCCATCACAGAATATGATGATATACTAGGCATAGTACATGAACTCTTTCCTCGTGACTCCAAGTTACCTAATGACTTCTACCAATCTAGAAAATTATTAGAGGGTCTTGGTATGCAATATATCAAAATTGATGTTTGCTATAATAATTGCATGCTATTCTACAAAGATAACAAGGACAAAGATAAATGTGTTTTTTGTGGTGCTAATCGGTATGTGGAAGGGAGAACAAAGGTTGCACATAAAGTTTTGCGCTATCTTCCAATCACAGATAGGCTGCAAAGGCTATATCTACATGGGGAGACAGCCAAGTTAATGAGATCATATAGTTCCACAACATGTGGTAAGATGGTGCACCCTTGTGACAGAGAGGCTTGGCAACAATTTAATGTGGACTATCCAGAATTTGCACAGGAAAAAATAAATGTGCGCCTTGCAGTAGCAACATATGGTTTCCAACCATTTGATGTGAATGTTGCACCTTACTCATGTTGGCCAGTCTTTGTGACCCCACTGAACCTACCTCCTGGCACACTCTTAAGGTCTGAGTATATTTTCCTCGCACTTGTTGTTCCTGGTCCGGAGCATCCTAGTAGAAAATTGAACGTTTTAATGCAGCCCTTAGTTGATGAATTTCAAGAACTATGGAAGGGGGTCACAACATGGGATGCTTCGTTGAAGGAGGAGTTTACAATGAGAGGAATCTACCTTTGGTCAGTACATGACTTTATGGCTTATGGGGACTTTTCCACCTGGAGCACCCATGGTAGGTTGTCATGCCCATATATGTGTGGTTGTCGAGGATTCCTACTCCCTAATGGGTGTAAGGCTTGCTGGTTTGATACCCATAGGCGTTTCTTGCCTGAAGATCATCCATTTAGAAATGAAGCTAATGCTTTTCGCAAGAACACCAAGCTATTTGATGTGGCACCTAGATACTTAACAGGGGAGGAAGTGCAAGCCCATGTGAACCAGTTTGCTGGTGATACACAAACCTACGGTAGATTGCACAATTGGACATATGTACTTTGTTTTAGGAAGCTTCCATATTTCCATAAGTTGCTACTTCCACATAATATTGATGTAATGCATAATGAAAAGAATATGGGTGAAGCCTTATGGAACACATGTTTTGACATAGCTGAAAAGAGCAAAGATAATGTGAAAGCTAGGCTAGATTTGGCTATTATATGTAATCGTCCTTCCATGCATTTGGTGCAAAAAAGCAATGGGCAATGGGATAGGCCTAGAGGTCCATTCCGCGTTCACAAAGATGTTAAGCCAACCATCCTGCAATGGTTCAAAGAATTGCAGTTCCCTGACTCATATGCATCCAATCTGAAGCGTGCTGTGAATCTGCTGCAAAAGAAAAATTTTGGACTAAAAAGTCATGATTATCACATCATTATGGAAAGGTTGCTTCCTGTAGTGTTTCATGGGTTTTTGCCAGATAATGTGTGGCATTGTTTGGCTGAGCTTAGTTTCTTCTATCGGCAATTGTGTGCCAAAGAGCTTAGAAAAGATGTTATCCGCTCTCTGGAGGAGAATGTTGCAATGCTTCTTTGCAAAATGGAGAAGATATTTCCTCATGGTTTCTTCAATGTTATGCAACATCTCATCATACATTTGCCTTATGAAGCACGATTAGGTGGTCTTGTCCTAGCACGTTGGTGCTATCCATATGAGAGGTAAATCTAGAAATATTCAAATAACTAGTTTATTTATGTCACCGACCATAAGTCAGCTATCTGTAATACATTGCTCTCACTTCGTAGGTGTATCAAAAACTTAGGAAAAAAGTAAGAAATAAGGCTCGTGTTGAGGCTGGCAATGTTGAGGCATTTCTTGTTGAAGAGGTTGCAAATACACTAAGTCTATATTTTAGACCCCATGCTCCATCTGTTAGAAATAAGGTGCCTCGCTATGATGATTGTGCATCTTCATTTCAAGGTACATGTGACCTTGACATTTTTAAATGCCCGGGTCGTTGCATGAGCCCTAGAGGTGTTCGTGAACTCTCAAACAAGGAGTACAAGGTTGCTTTTCTATACATATTGACAAACATGCCAGAGATGGATGCTTTCTTCACGTATGTTCTGCCAAAAACGTCATTCCTGTTCTGTTCTAGATTTTTTATTATCTAGGCATAACAAGAATTTTGTTCATGTAGACACTTTGATAATGAACAGTGGAAGAGCCAGTATAGCTCCCACAGACCAAAGAACATCGTGATTTAAGGTTAAATGGTTGGAAAAATAGCCATGGTATACAATCTGGTCCAAATTTTTTTGATTGGTTCAAAGAGCAAGTAATTTTCTCATACACTTCAGCCTTTGTTCTGTTCCAACATTGTGAATTATGATAAAAAACTTATCACATAATTTGTGTTTTTTCAGTGCTTGAAAACAGCTAGCATTCATAATGCTCTGTTCCAAATGTCCTATGGTTACTGCCCTCGAGTTAGGTCCTATGGGTGTTATGATGTCAATGGCTATAGATTCCATTCAAAGAAATATGAGAGTGGAAGAGTAGGGCTAACAACTATCAATAGTGGTGTTTGTGTAACTTCTTTTGATGAATCAGACAATGCTCTAGAGTATTATAGAATCATAGAAGATATAATTAAAATTGAGTGGGAAGGCAGCATGAAACTAGAGTTGGTGTTGTTTTATTGCTCCTGGTTTGATCCAACACCCAATGGATTGAGGCGTATTGAAGATCTAGGCTTGGTAGAGATCAATCATACATTAAGATTATCAAATTTTGGCCCATTTGTGATGGCTAGTAAGGTTACTCAAGTGTAGTATCTATCATACCCGTGTAAGAATAGAGAGTTGTCTTCATGGTGGGTTGTCTACCATGTTGCTCCACATGGATGTGTGCCTATGAATGAAAGCAGTAGTGAAGCTATGAATATGGAAGGGGTAGTGCAGGATGTCTACCAAGCGGATGGTTTGGATGGCGCCTTTGTCATTGATTTGAGTGATGCCTTGGACTCCATAATTGCAATGGGATCAGATGAGGTTACTGACCCAAAAGACTTGGAAGCAATACAGAAACAAGTTGTTCTGGATGAGGAATATGATGAAGAAGCTATTGAAGAAGAGGAAGAGACGGAAGAGGATGATGAATCAATGGATGAAGAAGATGAAGAAACTTATGATCCAAATGATTTTTGAATATGCAGTCCAAAATATATGTTTTAGTTATGGTATTTGTTATGCATAAGATCCTATGTAACTGTTTTTGAATATGCAACCAACAGTCCAGCATTATTAATATATCAGTTTGCATGTGTGCTTCAGTATTACTAAATCTGAATTCATGTTGTTTTCTCTCCAATCCTTTATCTAATGCAATATGCAGTCTAAAATATATTTGAATATATGCAGTCCAGTATTTTTTGTGAATGTGCAGCCAGTAGTCCATAATTATTAATATAGCAGTTTCCATGTTTGCTGCCCCTCCAATAATTTGTTGTCTGATACACTATTTGTTTTAAGATGGATCTAACATATTGTATCTACTGCAGATGGTCAGTACACGCAACAAATGTGTACCTAGTTTTCGTGCAGCCAAAAGGAACGAATGGTTCTCAAAGTGCAGGTGGTTCCATGGTCCATTCCATTCGACACACACGCCATGTAGCCAGCAGCAGTGCAGCCCAAACAAATGAAGGTTCTGGAACTGCAGGCGATGCCTCACAAAGGACAATAGTTGTTGAAGCACCCCCAATAGAGCCACCCAAGAAAAGAGAAAGGAAGGCAGGTCCCAAACAAAATTTAAACAACCTCCACATGGTGTTAAAGTGGCTCTTAAACCATGTGGTGACGAGTGAGTGCATTTCTTGCTTGATTCTTTGTTGGCTCCTGATCTTTGGTGCTAGTAATTTGTTAGCTTGATTCTTCTTTGCATACAATCTATCACTGTCTCAGTTAAGTGTGCAGTTTTTTCGTATCTACTAGCAGCTGCACATGATGTCCTTTTACTAGCATATGCACATAATCCTTGCAGCCAACCTTTTATGCTGACCTGTTACTATATAATATATATTTAGTCAATTTAGTTATATTTACTATCCGCCACCTTACAAATACACTACTCTGCTTGGGGTCATACTTAGAAGAGAATATCCAGGTGTGATTGTGGAGGTGGATGAGAACGGTGATGAATTCAAGCGCCCAGCTCTGGATTGGGCTGATTATTTTCATAAATATCCTAAGGCTACGGAAATGACAAGGGGAGAAAAAGTGGTTTCCGAATTTTGGGTAAGATACCTATGTTCAATCTGAAATTTCTGAGCAACATCTAAAACTTGAAATTTCTAAAATCTATGCAATGTGAAACCTATGTTCATGGTTTTGTACACATGCAACGTTTGTTCCAAGTTGCAGCAGGAGATCAACAAGATGCGGACTGTGTTCTAGAAGCCTGTTTGAAGAAAAGGGTGAGGAACATGATGTATCAAGTCTGTGTGGATGCTGTCAAGGAGTACTATAGGGAAATAAAACACATAGAAATCAAAGATGCAGTAGCGTGCCATATTGACCTCGAGTATGAGCAATACAAGCAAGGAAAGCTCAAGTGGTTGAATGATGAGGTGTGGCTCTTTATGCTTATTGGTGCTCAGATGAGTACAAGGTCAAACTTAAGAGGGGGCAAACATCTCGCTCAAGTAATGAAGATATTGCTCAAAACCGAGGAGGATCTAGACCATTCACAGAGACACAACAAGTATTGGTATGCACGTGTATATTCTTTATTCTTCAATTTCTTTTTAGGAACTTAGTAGCCTATTGTATATTCATATCTCATTGGAAAATTTACTATTTTTTAGGAAGCTAACTTTGGACCACAGAAAGCAACCCCTATTAATACATTTGCTGCGATGAAATCTGGCATGAAAAGCCTGGATAGCAAAGGTAGATGTGGTCCAATCAGTAGCCACAAAGCACAGAAACTCATGGTATGTATGTGACATGTGTGCTGAAAATTTCTGCTTGTACAGTTCTAGTGTGTATACTACTTCGAGTACTTACATGACGTCTTTTGTGGAACTTCTTAATACAAAAGTTGTAGATAATTAAGTATCTTCACTGTTCTAAAATTTCATGACTTTAGGTCATTAGGTTTGGGAGTTACAATTTTTTGAAGTTTCCTGTCAGCTTATGTTCATATCTGCATAGCAATGCTTCTTTGTGCTTTTTCACCCTGTTAACTTAAGAATCAGGTCTATGTTATAACTAGAAAGATGTGGAGAACTTTTTAAACTTTCCAAAATATTAAAGAACATATTTTTCTATGATCTAGAACTCTAGTTATGATTTATTTAAGTGACTTTCTTGCTGCTGTCCAGAAATTTCAGAATACAACGTTACCACGTTTTGGCTATCTATAAATCTGTAGAACATGTTTCCTTGTTCTGGTCTTTGTAGGATGACTACCTTGCTGCTGTTAAGAGGATAGAATGTGCAAACGAAGAGGATGGAGACGGTGCAGACATGGAAGTGGATGGGCATGAGGTTGAGCAACAACAATATTTGAATGGAAAGGTGCTATATGATGTGTCTAGTGGTGCCCCAAGAAAGCATGGGCGTCTTGCCATAGCAAATGGTGCAGTTAAGTCTTCAGATGCATGTCAGGGCAGCCGGAAGGGAAAGAAGTGTGCGTCCATCAAATTCAGTGACTATGCAAAACATGTCTTGAGAAATGGAAGAGCTACGTCGTGCAAATGGAAGGCCGGAACGAGAGAATCGTGAAAAGGACAACACACTGCAGCAAAACAAAGTTCTTGTAGGCTTGGTACTGGTATGTGCAATGCTCTTGTAAATAATTCACCAATATTATATGTGAATTATCTAATGATTTGAATCTGAAATATCTATGCTTGCAATACACTTGTAGAACCTTTAACAGGAGACAGGAAGGGTTGTACCAGAAGAAGCGTTACGACACTTGTCTGCTACTCAAGCAATTGTGAGTATATCTTCATTCCACTATCAACATGTTTTGTAGCTATCAGATCCAGCACTTAGAGATTTAAATATGTAAAGGAAGTAGAAACTGATTAGTATTTTGTGGGGTACTATTTAGAATGTCAACACACAGTGCAGCAGTGAGGAAGTGGCCTCATGTTGATTGTTGTATAGCTACTACAGTGAATTTGCATGGCTATTGCGGTGAGGAAGTGGCCTTATGTTGGTTTGTAATGTTTCACACCTTGAAAACCAGCGGTTTGAATACTTTAAACCTTGTCCAATTCCACTTACTGTTGTAACCTTGTCCAATTTAGAGGCTTTGCTAAAAGTGTTATATTGTTGGGAGACAATTCCACTTACTGTAACTTTGTTCACATTCAGGCAACTGGGCCTTCTCATGCTGCCTCAGAATCTGCCAACAATGGTAATGATGTTGGCCACACCAATGGGGATCTTCATGCTGCAAACGTTGACAACAATCAAGGTTCCGACAACAATGGCGATCATGCATCGATAATGTGATGGTTGTGTTTAGTTGCAAAACATGGATGTGATGGTGGTTTCTTCTTTTGTAGAGTTGTGATCTCTATTTTTTATTTTATTCATATGAAAAGCTCCATCTCAAATATTCTATGTTATATCTATGTTTTGTATTTAGGGGTGTAGGTTTTGTCCCTTATATTTTTCTATGTTCCCACAGTACGGTTACAGTCTTTATATCAAATGTTATGATTAGAGATCGTATAGCAGGGACGGACTGTAATAGTGATCAGTAAAGGTTGTGATTAAGGGTCGCACATGGATTGTGATTAGGGATTAATAACCATTGTGACTAGTAGTCGCATATGTTTTGTGATTAGGATAGTGGTTTTGGACCTACCGTCTGCATAGATTACAAATTTTAGTTTCCCTATGATTCCCCTCGTAGTTGGCAGCTTTGTGTATTTTAGGGTCGCTGCAAGTGTGTGACTAAGCTTTGTCCCCTAGTTGGTAGCCTTTTGTGATATATGTTTGCTTCAAGGTTGTGACTATGGTTTGCCTCAAACCCCAGTTGGCAGCTTGTTGTGTTTCCGAGCCACGGCAATAATTTTGACAATGGTTTGCCCTTCAGTTGGCATCTTGTTGTGTTTAGAGACCACTGCATGGGTTGTACGTTTTGCTCCCAGTTGGCAGCGTTTTGTGATTTAGGTTTGCTTCAAGGGTTGTGATTATGGTTTATCCCCCAACCCCAGTTGGTAGCTTACTGTGTTTTGTGGCCACTACAATGATTTTGACAACGATTTGCCAGCCCCACCCAGTTGTCAACTTGTTGTGTTTAGTGGTCGCTTAAAGGATTGTGACTATGGTTTGAGCCCCTGATTGGAAGCCTTTCGTGGTATAGGGACCGTTGCCAGGATTTTGACATTGGTTTGCCCTCCCGGTTGGCATCTTGTAGTTTTTTGGGGCCAATGCAAGGATTTTGACAATGGTTTGCCCCAAGTTGGCAGCATGTTGTAATTTATGGGTCATTTTAAATGTTTTGTCTATACATCCATTCGGATTAGTGTTGCAACGTCCATACTAATTAGGCTTCACAACATCTATTCTGATTACAGTTGTAGCATCCATTCTGATTTGGGTTATGGGGTTCTTTCTACCATATGCTCAGGATCCTACTTTTTAAAATTCTCAAATATGGGTATGCTATACTCTGTGCATACTAGTTAGGGTTGCAACATTAGTACTGATTAGCGTCATGGCATCCATACTAATTAGGGGTCACAGAGGGATATTGATTAGTGTTGCAACATCCATACTGATTGGGATTGCAACAGGCATACTGATTAGGGCCGCAAGAGGCATACGGATTAGGGTTATGTGGTTTGTCTTACCATCTGCTCAGGTTGATACTTTTTAGAATTATCAACTGTGGATCATGTATACTCTTGCATACTGGTAAGGGTTGCAGCATCTATATTGACTAGGGGTCGCAACACCCATAGTGATAAGGGTTGCAGTAGACATACATGATTAGGGTTATGGTGTTTGCCCTATTATATGCTTATGTTGCTACTTTTAAGAATTTTTAGACATGGGTTAGTGTTGTGGCATCCATGCTGATTAGGGTTGCAATATCCATGTTGATTATGGCTCAGTAGACATACTGATTAGGTATCGAAACCATACCGATTAGGGTTACAATAGGTATACTGATTTCGTGT